CTGTACAAGGACAGGTTTCCATTCAGCTCTTGGGGAGTTTGAGGCTCAGCACTGGGCTGGTTCCTGTTTCAGTGCTCACAGTGAATTCGGAGCTTCAGAAGCTGCACCATTGATTTGCACTAATTATAAATCCTATAGAAAGTCCTCAGCTTGCAACAGTCACGGCTTTGCTCTCAGTGGAGTCAATAAAAGTTAAGAGTTGCTCCCTGGTTACTGTCATTACAACAATAAAACCCGGAGTAATTGAAAAGTGAATCAGGGAAATTGCCAGATTGGAGAGCAGGGAAAACAGAAGGAATTACTGGGGAGCCCAAGCAGAGTCTTGTCCCTGCCTGCACCAAGCTGGAGTCTATTCTGGACAAACTCCCACACTGATATGTCATGGGGGACATGTCCTGAGCGTGGGGCAAAGCAGGACCAGTGACCACGTGCCTGCCAGGAGGCCAAAAATTCAGTGCATGAGCCAACAAGGGTGATTTTGAATCCCTGCTGGGATTGTTCCACTTCCTAAAAGGCAAAAATGACAACAAAACAATAAAAAAAAGTCTCCTTACATTAGGATAAAACTCAAAAGCAAGAGCTGGAGATGCAGCAAGAAGAGGGCAATTATTTCATATTGGACAGATCAGCTGGTGCAGGAAGACCTGAAACCCCCAGGTCATTACTGAACAATCTCGACTAGTGGAAGTTGTCCCTGCACATGGCAGGGGGTGGAACTGGATGAGCTTTAAGGTCCTTTCCAACCCAGGCCATCCCATGATTCCATGATTCCCTGAAGGCAGAAAAACCAAACCCATAAACTCCAACAACAGGAGTTTGAATTGGCCTCAGAGAACTGGCCCTGAGCCAAGAACAAACTCCAGCACAGGCTGAACATCAGCCCATGATGATGTAACGGGGTAACCACATGCTGACAGGCTGCTCCTCCTCAGATGGAGTGACCACTAGGATGAAATGAAGGGTTTGCCTCGTGGGTGGACTCAGGAAGAGTTTACAGGTTGAAGTTTCCCAGGACAAAGACTCCAAGGGAATCAAGGATTGGGTGAGAAAACCTTGCTTTTAGCAGCTGTCAGCACTGCAGGAAGGCAGCCAAGAGGGCTGCAGACCCTGGGGCAGCTCTGCAGACCTCCACTAACACACCTTCCACGCTGCTTCAGGAGTGGGTCCTGAGTGAACCCCCATTCCCACTCCTCTGGTTGCCAAGAGAAACGCCTTTTGTAAATCTACAGGCTGTGAAATCCGCAGCTGCTCGGCTTGACTTGCTCTTCTAACACTAAAGACAGAGGCTGGATGGGGAGATTTCCTCCTGCACAGCAAAGCAGGATGGAAATTTGGGACTAAATGCCGGGGGGGGATTTGCAATCCAGCTTTGAAGTGTCCAAGGAGGAGCCACTGGTGACAATGGTGTGCTCTGCTATTTTTAGCTCTGAATCCCTGAGGAACAGCAGCAAAAACACCAAACCCATCAGACTTGCTTTCCAGAGAAATGCTTTTCATCTGGGCCAAAGGCAGCAACTTTGCTCTCCCCTTCTCTGCCCCAGGTTTCTGGTTGTGGCAGGAAAGAAGGGAATAGAACTGTAGGAATTGGTGCTTCCAAGGACAGCTGGGGAAACGTGGATGAGTGTGTGCACATCTGCCTGATCACACACAGTTGTGGCTGAACATTTCAGGGTCCAGATGTAATCAAAGTGCACTTATTTTTCTTAGTTTTCCTTTGGGGATGAACGATTTTGCATCTGTGTGCTGAGATGAGCAGCAGCGCTCAGGGAGGACAATGCCAAAGCAGCTCAGAAGTGTTAAGAATCCTAGGATAGGTTGAGCTGGAAGTGACTTTAAAGCCCATCTTGTTCCACCCCCTGCCATGGGCAGGGACACCTCCCACTAGCCCAGGTTGCTCCAACCTGGCCTTGGACACTTCCAGGGCTGGGGCAGCCACAGCTTCTCTGGGCAACCTGTGCCAGGGCCTGCCCACCCTCCCAGGGAAGGATTCCCTCCCAATATCCCATCTATCCCTGCCCTCTGGCAGTGGGAAGTCCTTGTCCTATCGCTGCATGCCCTGCCCTGTCCTGTTTGCTCTGTCCTCCTCATGCTGAGGGAAAGGAGTGGGAATTTCTCACTGCACCCCCCACTCACAGTTGGCATCACCTTTCCTCCAGTTCATCATTACCCCAGAGGTGTTTGGCCTTTGTGGGGTTTCTTGGAGGTGGGTGGTTCATGTGAGAGTGGGCAATCCCTGGTTCTTACTGTTTGCTGAGGGTGAGCCCATCTGGGGCTGTGAGGCCTGAGAGCTGAAGGTGCTGGCCAGAGAAGGGGAAGATCATCACGACTTGGAGCATTTCCATCCTTCTTTCCTGACTGCCCTGAGGACTCAGGGACTCTCAGCCCTTCCCCTGGCACAGCAGCCAGGGTGAGTGCCCTCTCTGCTGTTCCCTGTTAATACCACAGACAGGCACGTGGGCAAAGTCCTGCTGCTGCAAAATGTCCTTTCCTGTGTATTCTTCAGGAGTCGTGGGTTTAACATTTGCTTTGTGTGAGAACATTTACCCACTGGATCTACAGCGCAAGTCAGCTCAGAGGGAAACCTTTCCTGCTTGTTCTTGCCACGCAGGCACAGCTGGAGAGTTAGGAAGCAAAAACAAGGGGCAGAAACAAGGCCGTGACTCATGGCAAGGTGCAAGAGCTACCAGGGGGATCCTTTGGGGCTTTGTCTCTGTTGGGGTGGCCAGGATGATGCTGAATTGCTGCCTCTCCAGCCTGGAAAACCCTCCCTGACACAGGGCTGTCTCTCTCTGCTCCTCTACCAGCACTAAGGGGCTCCAGCAACATCCCTTGGCAGCGTTTGAGGAACCCAAAACAGCAACATCTGCAAAGTCACAGCACAGGGTTGGGATGAGGGTGGAAAAACATGAGGAGGGAACTGTGGCATTGCCCTCCAGCCCTTGCTGCTCTGGGTGCTGTGTCTCTAGCTGGGTCTAACTGGGTGCTGTTCCCACAGTTTGACATGCAGAGGATAACGCTGGAGGAGCTGAAGCACATCCTGTACCATGCCTTCCGCGACCACCTGACGATGAAGGACATCGAGAACATCATCATCAACGAGGAGGAGAGCTTGAATGAGAACTCTGGCAACTGCCAAACAGAGTTTGAAGGTGAGGGGGGAATTCCTGCGTTTCTGTACGATTATCCTCTTTCTGTTTTGTCTGTAAAGCCCACTCTGAGCCATGACATGCAGTGGGCAAGGAGGTGTGGAGTTAGTGTGGAGCTGTTGTAGAGAAGCAGTGACACACTTGGAGATCTGCAGAGCTGCCAGCAGCCCTCCTCCATGGATCAGTAAAGCTGAGCCTGGTTCAGGTAGGAGGAGGAACCACCAGGTGCTTTGCCTTATGGCAAAATGGGATGAGATTCAGCCAAAGGGATGTGCAGCCCATGCTGAGGTGAGTGTCTTAGACTGAATTTCCCTACAGAAACATCCTTATTTCCCTCAGGCTGTCATGGAAAGACTTCATGGCCTTGGGCACCTCTTGCTCTGAGCTGCTGGGACCACTGGTGTGGGGCAGGTTCACCCAGGACAGCTCATCTCAACACCTGAGAGTGCCTGCAAAGTCAAGTCAAAGCAGAGCTGGGAGGGGGACAGAGAAAGGGCAGCATTTGCTTCCTCTTATCAGTGTGAGAGGACCAGCAAGTGCTCCCCAGCTCAGCCTCAGCAGTGAGGTTTGCACTTTGACAGAGCTGACACTGGCAAGAACATTCCCTGGTTTAAGACACCTCAGGAGAAGGATTTTCTTGGCCAGAGGAGCTTGTGCTGCTCCAAAGCATCGCTGGTTGGAACAGCTAGAGCTGTCCAGAGCAGCTGTGGCTGCCCCAGCCCTGCAAGTGTCCAAGGCCAGGTTAGAGCAACCTGGGCTAGTGGGAGGTGTCCCTGCTCGTGGCAGGGGCTTGAACAAGGTTATCTTTAAGTTCCCTTCCAACCCAAACCATTCTGTGATTCTCTGAAATCCTCCCAAGTGCAGAAGAGTCCAAGGAAATACCCCCAGAGAACCTGTGGGGCTGAGCACAACCCCCTGGTACAGCCCCTGTGCTCTGCCACCCACAGCAAGGCCACTTTCTGTGGGCCATCTGGGGGGAAACTCTGATACTCTGAGGGGTCAGAGAAGCTTCTGAAAGGGCACCAAGCTGAGACACTGAAGCATCTTTCAAACAAAGCAAAGGTGAACCTATTAGTGCAATTGTTAGCCTGGCTAATTAGTGGGGTTCAGCAGCTCCATCCAGCACACTAAATACTGCAGGAGCTGAATTTTGAAAAACCTGCAGGGGAGAGGAAAGCAGCAACACTCTCTGAATCGAGCCAAGCACCAAGTTTTTTGTTCCTCCTGGAGAGCAGCAGGTGTGAAGAGATGCTACTTATTGAATGGAGCTGTCAGTCCCCACTGACCTGCTGATTCACTGGAGACACGAGCCAGTTCAGGCTCCTTTCAGCTCTGGAGCTTGGGTGAACCATCCCAATCACCAGGAAAAAAAAAAAAAAAAAAAGTGGGTCCAAACACCTAATTGCGCAGCAGCTCATTTTGGAAGCCCCAGCTTCCAAAAGTACAGCAGGAACAGCTTTTCTCGTGGGATGTTGGCATTGCTGGTGCCAGGCAGAACCTGGAAGCCAAACAGCCCCTTTTTTCAGATGTTAAAAATACACACACAAATCCAGCAGGGAATACAGATCGACTCAACCCTGTCAACAGCAGAGCAAAGTTTTGCTTCAGGTCCCAGAGGAAGGGACAGTTCTGGCCCGTGGCAGCTCTGACAGGAGCTTTTCTCCCGGGAAAGGCAGGCTGGGAGCAGGTTTGTGTCCCTCCTGCTCTCCAGGCTGGACATGCCATTATCTGAATAACCCAATTCTGCTCTCAGAGTTCCCAAATCCCAAGCACTGAGATCTCTACAGGGCTCAAAAGCAGAGACCTGAGGGTCTCCTGGGTCAGTGATACCGTGGGAGAGCTGTCTCTGTGCAGAGCAGTCACCCTTGACTCACTTCTGGAACAAGGGAGGTGCTTTTTGGGTATAATTCCTGGAGTTTATTTTAGGTGCCACCTTGGGATGAGATGAATGGCACCTTAAAAAGCAATTCAACCTTTCAAATAGCAATTCAGCTGTTCCTCTCAACCCACAGAGCCTCCCACCTCTATTTAATGGACATTTCATCCACCTCACTGAAGCGTCTTTCATAGGAACAAGGCCAAGATGATGAACGAAGATGGGTTTTAGTGGGACTTGGGAATGGCTTAGGAAGGAAGAGACGTTGCAGATACTTCCAGTAATACCTTGAAAGGTGGGATCTCCACTCACTGTCACCTCTGGGGGTGTTCTTGCCCTCAAAGAGCAGCCCCCAAAGCCTCCTCCCTCCTGTGAGCACAGATATCCCCCTTCTCCACAGCCCTGCCAGGTGCTAAAGAGGTAACAGAACCATGAGTACAAATATACTAAAATTTCTGCCATTCTTTGCATAGATTTGCCCCTTGTCTAATTGTCATAATAAGGTCTTTCTGTAATATTTATGACTATGTAATATTCTTTCTGTATTGACATGGATTATAGACCTCATATTTCTCCCCCACACCTCCTTTATCCCAAATACCGTATTTGTGTTATAGCCAGGCACAAGTCCAGGATTTTATTCAGTTCCTTTTGAACACTGAAGTCATTTGCAGGACATCAAACCAAGGGAAAGACTACACCAGAATAGAGGCCCAGTCATGTCTTCAGCCTTTATTTCTGTTTTTATTAGTGCTTAGGGCAGGACAGCAAGGATTATATGCTTTTATGAGCCACGAGAAAAGAACAACTGTTCGCAGCAACCCTGTGCTGCCAAAAATTTATAGCCCAAACCCCACTTGTCTGGCAGTTCCCTTTATCCAAACACTCAGGACACGAAGCTGGTGGCAAACAAGCCTGTGGGGCGGTTGTGGTGACCTGAGCTGTCTGTCACAGGCACTTCATCCTCAGGCCTGACACTCCAATCAGCTGCATGTGCCAGAGCCCCCTCCCTGCCCAGCTGAGGGCTCAGCGATGAAAAACTGGCCTCTCAAAACAAAAATAACTCCAGCCAGGCAGAGAAAGCCACAATCCCTCACCTCTGGCTGGGTTGTGACAGAGCCACTATAAACACCCTGCAGCTGTCCCTGGTAGCAGGGCTTTGGGAAGGGCAGGAGGCTCTCAGGGCTCCCCCCAGCACCCCAAACCCAGCTGGGCTTGCCAACCCTCTGGGTGGTGTTCAGCTGGAGCAGAGGAGACTGAGGGGAGACCTCAGTGCTGTCCCAGCTTCCTGGGCAGGGGCAGAGGAGGGGCAAGACTGAGCTCTGCTCTGGGGGGAGCAGGGACAGCCCCCAGGGAATGGCTGGAGCTGTGTCAGGGCAGGCTCAGGGTGGATCTCAGCCAAAGGTTCTTCCCCCAGAGGGTGGTTGGCACTGAACAGGCTCCCCAGGGCAGTGGGCACAGCCCCAAGGCTGCCAGAGCTGCAGGAGGGTTTGGATGATCCTCTGGGGCACAGGGGGGGACTCTTGGGGCTGGGGCTGTGCAGGGCTGAGGGTTGG